TGACTCATTCTATGTCAATATGACTCATGCTATTCCCTTCTATTTATAGAGATGAGTCATGTTGACTCAGCCTATGCTCAAGGACCAATCACAAGTCCCCAAGCTAGCTGACTCATCCTATTTTCTCACACTATTGTACACTATTCTCTCACACTATTGTCTATGTTGCCTAGTAACCAGGCAATTCTCCCACCCTATTGTTATGAATTTCAAATTACTGTAGGGTATATAAGGAGCTCAGTAGACAATCTTAGGAGGGACCCCCCAATAATAATAAGAGACCCTCTAAATACCAGAGAGCCTCATTGGTTCAAGTCAGCCTCAGAATCAGTTGTACTACTGTGTGCATCTGTACTGTCTTGGTTCCACAAAGTGCTGGAACAAGCAGTGTTAGTCTGGAGTTAAAGCTATCTGTGATACCTCAGAGAAGGGAAGGACTTGCAGTACTGTCTGCTGTCTGCCACAGCTAGTCTGTTTCTCTACCGTGAGAAATACTTCAGTCTAGGTTTGGTGTTGGAAGTCTAGCCGTAGACCTCTGGTCACCTGTGTTTGCTCTTTACCCTCATCCTCAGCTAGACTCTGGTAGTCAGCTATTTTGTTTGTTTAGTTATCTGGAGATTGAAACAAAGAGTTTTAACCTCTATAAAGCCTATACTCTCCCTCATCGAACACAAGGGAACTGCTCGACCAACGACAAATCCAGCATTCTCTTGGGGAACTTGACGACTGCACCGCTTAGAGATATTTAGGTGGTATTATATCAATCGCAAGTTCTGCTGACACCGGGGGAGGGGAAAGTACTATCATTGAGGGGGTTCTGCAAAAAGTATCGAATTCGGCCTGTAGCATTCCGCACACTTGGCGGATTCTTACCGGATCTTCCGCATATTGTGTGTAACTTAGTGATGAATGTCCTCATTATTTTTGTGCATTTTTATGCAGCCTGTGGAACGTAGGAGAGAGATGCAGGTTCATGTAGGGGGTTCTGCAAAAAGGTGTCACACGCGGTCACAGTGGGATCTCGCCGCGAGCGATGTCACGCTTTTGTCACGATATGGGCCCGGGAGATGTGCAAAGTTGCCTCTCTATCTCGACACGCTCGTTATTTACTCTATCGGGCTGGTATATTGTACTATAGACAGCATATTCATGATACGCCAAGCCATTCCACTGCAGTCCGTTGAGAGCATCACGAGAGATCTACTGGACACTGTTTCCTTCCCATGGCCTACCGGACCCATTTTCTCTCCCTCTCCTCAACCAGAGCAGATATTCTCATTCCGACTTGGCAGAAGGTGTATTCTAGTGTATATCTACCTGTCTGAGCTTACCCGATATTTTTTGGTTGAGTGTGGAACGAGATATAAGGGGGTGAGGGGGTTCTGCAAATTTTGCAAAACCCCCTCAATGATAGTATTACGGTTTTGGGGTTCTAACGCTGCGACGGAAATTTGCGGGTCTGCGGGCAGAGCAACTTGCATTGGCAGATCGACAGCGTCAGACTGTTGACTGTCGAGTTCGGCGTCGACGAGGGCGGTGCTGGGCGTGCATATAACCCGCTCTCGCTGCACGCAAAGTCAAGACCCCGATCGAGTATCGCATTGCAGGCCCGATCATGATTCGAGCCCAGACCGGAAGCACGCCAAGGCAATCGCGACGGGCCCGGCGCACCGATTGCATTTGCACTCGTCTCGAAAATCAGTCTCTTATATGCGCGGCCTGCTCACGGCATGCCGTTTTCCTTTCTCCCTGGCGGTTCGTACGACGACCGCGACTGCATGCATGCTGCTCCCGACACCGAGCACACCCACTCTCGTTGCTTTCGCAAGACCGACGTGCCCGACTTAGCGCCGCAATACACTCTACGCACTCCTTCTACACGCCCAATCCGGTCTGATGTTTCAAGGACCCCAGGACTTTGATGTCAAAAGGAGGTTGGCTTCGTGCGTCTATGGAATGCTTATTCAAGATCACTCAGACCTAGCCGACGAACATCTCATGGTCGTTGGATTGAGCTCGGATTGAGCTCGTGGTCGACATCCTGCCTACCTCGACAAGGGAGGTCACAGTGACCGTCTGTCGAATGTTACTTTTCACATGGAGTATTCTACAAGTCATCTGTTGCTTACATTAGGTCCGTCTGTGTGTATTGTATCGGAAATGGACTCTCCCGCCATCTCGACAGTAGCCTGAGTAAGATTCTGCGCCTCCTTAGCCTTTTTATTACGAGCTCGTGTTGCCGCTGCTTTTGCGGCAGTCTCAGCGCGCTTGACAGGTCCTGATATTCGCAGCCCCTCAGCAATCTGGGCGAGCTTCGCAGATCGGTCTGCTTGAAGATAGTGACGTGGGGCTGTCAGCGGCCGAGGTAAGACTTCTTGAATCAATGCAGCATTGTGAATGGCGTGCATATTCAAGATAAAATGGTCGTCATCCGTGTGCACGATGTACTGCTCCTGCAAACTTGTCGGGCGCCGCTCTTGTTGCACTGAACGCGAACCTGTCGGACTGCAACTACCTTTGGCACAGTCATGTTGCACGTTGAATAAGAATAAAAGGTCCTGGCGCAGAAGTTCAAGGACCACTATGAGGATCTGAAGTGAAGTACTTACCGCAGATCTAACTGAAACCACTTTCGGCCCACTTGTAGTTCTTGTGAGAACAGGCATTTTGAGACGGGAATGAAGGACGCTGGATACGGTAAACCGCTCAACAATGGTGATGCCCGCGTCGCAGCTGGTCTTCAAGGTCTCAGGAGTCAGGATCTTGCAAATTCGACCACAAGCAACCTCCTGATTGGGATTCTGACCTGCAGTGATGAGCCTGGGACCATCTTACATAGAGAGATGGTACACATACACCCGCGGTATGGTAGAATACCCAGGATCCACTGCGGCAAAGATCTCGTGAGTGGGATACGCAGTATTCTCCTTCTTGCCATAATTGTCCGCCAATGCCAACCTCCGGAACATGCGGGATTCCTGCTTGATCAAGGGCCTCACGCCACACGTGGCTTGAGCGTTTGCGCCTTGCTATGATCTTCACAGAACCTACAACATGGAGTAAGTAAGACGATGGAAGATTTGGGCCAGGTCTCACCGATGCGAAGGAAAGATTTATTAACCCATCCGAGGTGCCTCTGCAACTCGGAATTGCCTTTGAGAAATGTACGAACATTCTCACCCGCTTGTACATATTCACCCGAATCAGTTCTCCACCAGCCACCGCTGACCTGATGCTTGAAGCGCTCCATGTCTGCCAGTGTTTGAGCAATGTCACGGCTGGGAGCCTGGTGGTTAGAGAGAATGCTACATAACCGGAATATAGCATTCCAACATTCAAATATCTCTGTCGCGAAAAGTAGTGCTGGCCCGAATCGACGGATGTCCTCCAAGATGTGGGGGAGGACGTGCAGCTTTGGTTTCTGTATTATGCGAATAGGATCAATCAAAGCCCAGATGTCCAGGACATTGTCGATTAAGATTGATACGTCAGCCTGGGTTTGCCAGACATATTAGTTTGATTTTGAAGGTAAATGGGTAAGGATGTACCAGATAAGTATTCATGTCATTAATTTCATGGAACCAGAGGTATGCCCCGAGCTCTCCTGTCGCTAGCCATAACTGAAACATGAGGTCGGAGCATAGACCATCATGCAGATGGAATACCGCAAGCTGCTGCAATGCTTTGAAGTGCCGTCCGACAAGAGCATTCTTATATTGTACCATATATTTTGCGCGCACTGGAGGTAGCACCAAGCCGTCCACAGCTGATGACTGGAGACGGAGAGTAAATAGCTCTTGTTTCTTCTCGTCCCAGCTGCCGTGAGTCGCATACCAGACATACTTGTCTTGGCCAAGCAAGTAAGTATGGAGAATCTCTACAGGGGTTGCTTCGTGTATGTCCAGTCCTGGCAGAACAGCGACAGGTGTCTTTCAGTCATACTGCTTAACAGAACAGTGGCCGTACCTGGCATTGCGAGAGCTGGATTATAGTGGTCGCCAGGTCTCAAGCAGCGCCGAAGTGCTGAGAAACAAATTTAGCTTTCAAAATGTCACCAGAGTCTGTATAGAGTACTCCACGAACGGGAATCGAATGGCAATTTGTTATATCGCTCCAGCGGTTGATGCAGGGGCCAACTGAAACCTCATTCTGGATGTTGCAGATAATCTCGTTTCTGACAAGCTTGCGGGCATTGCCTTTCAGTGACTTGTCCTTTAGCCGTGGATCTCTTGTCGTATCATCACTAAGGCGGTCACTTTGAAGACTGCGTGCTTGTGCAATGCACTGGTCTATCCAAAATGATGTGATCTTGTCCTTTACGCCTGTCCGGGTCTGAATTGTGTCGACTGCTTCTTGAACACCTAGGCATGCAGTCCATAGCTGATCCTTTATAACCTGTGCTGTCTCCGTACATGATCTTGGGACTCCAGGCTACTAAATCAGACACACATGAATGTAGTAGTCACACAGCATACCAATAATGGAGAACAGACCTTGAACAGAGCTTGGTACCCCTCACTGCTCTCCTTCTCTTCCGCACTTCCTCCGACTTTGCACCGACGACAAAACAGATTCCCATGCATGCCGATATGTGAGCATGTCTCTGATTGCTGAGGATTGTCAGCAGGGTAGATATATGGCAGGATCCGGAAGATAATCTCTTCTCTGAAAAGGCAATCATAAGCAGAGTACCAAGTGTCAGGTTTCCTTTATACAGCCTGTAAGCTTGCCCCTGGACATGACAAAGGCAGACTTGTCAACTTACATCTTCTCCAAAAGTGCATCCAACTGCTCGGAGGATGATGCATGGGGTGATGTTGAACAAAAGCGTACGAAAAACTCCTGGGCAAGCTTTTGGTGCGGCAGGCCGCTATTCGCAAGGTACATGTTGACGTGTGGACTGAACTGCTTGCTTACATTGCCCGACACATCGTCGCTCCATGGCATAATAAATAGTGTGAATGCTGCTCGGCCTTTCGCAATCTTGCGAACAGGGTGTGGCATCTCACGGGCCCAGGACGGAGCAACTTCTGCAAATTAAAATAAGGACAGTTTGTGCATTAGTTCAACAAGGAATATACCTGAGAAGCCAAACTTCAGGCCTTCCTCCAACTCTGTCAAGTCAAGGTAATTGCTCTCAAACTCAGAGGCATTCACACGGCTAATTGTCTCAAAATTGGCTTTGGTTATCCCTGTCTGCACAGAGGCTCAGTTCTCAAGATGCAGAGGCTTGATCCTGGTAATGCTTACCACCTGATCATGTTTGACTTCACATACATCAGCACACATAGTGCCATTCTGCTTGACCCAACGAACAGGTATGACAAGGCGTCCATCCTGTAAGCGTGCTACTTCCTTGACATAGAAGTGACGGTGTGGTGCTTTCTCTGTGTCTACCCACATAGGCGTTAGGAGATCCAAGTCTGTTTCCTCAGTCCATTTCCCTGCTTGCCAAGCTTCCACCACTTTCCTGGTGACTTCTGGATATAGATTGATGTGCTCTCGTACCAGGGGATTGGCCCAGTCCTGTCATCCCCAGTCAGAGTTCAAATCAAGTTCGCAACAGACTGTCCAACTACCATTGCAAAAAGTTGAGCGGGATCATTCATACAGAAGTGATTCCCGAGTGAGGAGGTGTGATTTTCTGTCTTTGGTCCAGTACCTTTTGTTAACTTCGTCTGTAAGGCACGCAATGCCTTAAATGACAGAACATCAGGAGTTCCGCATTCTCGCATCACCCATAATACAGCCTTCAAGTGGTTATCAGACAGGCGCAAGCGGGGCAGGCTGTCAAGTAGGTCCAACATGAACATCTGTGGTAATCTCAGTTAAGTATCAGCTCCACATTTACATGCAGACCCACTGTCTTCGACCCATATGGCTCCCAGCCATCCTGAGGTGTCCACCCTGGTCTGTCAGGCTCATCATATTCATCTTCGCTTTCATCCAAACCTGACCAATCAAAGGTAAAATCAGCACATCCCCACAAGACCCAGTTGAGATTCTCACCCATCAGACGCATGGCCCAAACTGCATCAGGCACTGTAGGATCTTCTTCTATATATTCCGGTGTAAAATCTTGCGCAAATAAGGTATGACCTCCAGAAAGATCTAATGACTGCATCTGTTCAATCAACTGACGACGCCGGTCATAGTCCGAGTCCTTGCTGCTCTCTCCTGCGGAGAAGAGCATCTGTTCCCCATCGCGGTGAAGGTACTCATCCCCATTGATGATCAAGTTATCGAATAAAGATTCACCAAGTGCAGGATGCTCGGGCTCATCTGCTTCCTCTTCAGAATCGTCAAGAATGGATGCTAGCAACAGAAGAGCCGGTCTCGGGGGCACAGGTGTAGCAGTGTTGGATGCTGCAGGAGTACCAGTGGGATTAGGATTCGCAGATGCAGCAGGTGGCTTGGATTTCTCATGTTTATCTGTACGAAGATGGTCTCCTAAGTTGCCCTTCTTTCTCTTGACCAGTATGTCTTGATTGAGACGCTGTGAGCAGAGTACACACTTGAACCTTGTTGGGTCATCCGGATATTCAATAAAGCCTGTATAATGATTGATGACCATCATGCCACTCAGCATGTGGTGGTCAGACTCGCCTTCGGGAATAACAACAGCTCGGGGCATACTTACACTGCAAGTGCGTTATTGTGTCTGCAGGCGCGTTATTGTGTCTGCAGGCGCGTTATTGTGTCTGCATGCGTGTTATCGCATCCTCATTAGCCAAAACCAGTGCAGCACGTGACTTCCTGGGGTAACTGATTTTTTGTTGAAGTCCGTCAAAGTCATCTTGGTTTCCTTTGTCCCTCCACGTCATTCTCTATTTTCTCCTCACTTTTCTCAATTTTATTTTTTCGCTACTAATTTTTCTGCCTTCACTCCGGTCCGCTCATGCTTTCCTTGACTGATATGCTCAACAGGGAGTCAAGTCCTCTGGTTCCGTCAACCGAGGAGCGCCCAAGTGCATCCAAATTGCGACACGGCTCAAGTCCGGACCCTCCTGGTACACCACCTGCGACGACGATGGTTCGCACTGCCAAGAGACCTGCGGAAGACCTTTCGCAGTACGCACAGTCCGTTGCAAGGAAGAAACGGTTGTGCCCCGAAGACAGTGACGAGCTTGTCTCGTATACAAAGGTCATTTCTACATCCTGCCTTCGCGACGCTAACTTAAACATACTTCAATCAGCTCTCACGTGGCGAGAAGGACATATGGATGGCTTCGACTCTCTGGTCCATTCAGGGTACAGTCAGTCAGCTACAGGCACCGGATGCACAGTGGGACCTGCCGTCGACACTGAAGGTATGTCTGATGCTTATTCATTTCATTACGGGTCTGATGTGTCATATGCTGCCTGGCCGGCGGATGCAGAAGAAGATTGATATCTACTCTGCAGTTGTCATTCTCTCCCACACCATCTCTGCCTACGTCAGTGACGAGGTGCCGCGGAAGTTATTATTTGTGAGTACGAAATGTCAGTCTGCACATGTCAGCCCTCATCTCATCCATCCAGGAAATCCTCGAAATCCACCCCAGCTGGGGCTACAAACCGGAGGTCAAGGAGAACCCGTATAAGTACAATATGATGGTCTCCTTCATATCGTCAAAGCTGACCGCACGGAGGTATACAACCAAGAAACTTGTATGTTACATTCCTGCCTACCCGCTGGTGAGCTCACCGACGTGTTCCAGATTGCGGAGAGCATTGGCACAACCTCCGAGGACCCGGGAGAAGTAAAACGTGTCGGCGCAGATGATATCCTCATCTTATGTGAGAAGTTAGCAACGAATGTCTTCAAGGCCGCAAAGATCATTGTTACCGTACCGATGTGTGCCCGAGTGGCCTTTCTTGTAGGCTATTTCCTATCTCCAGTGCTCCAAAGCCAGCTGATGACCAGCAATACAGAGGCTTGTCTATGTCGGATCACCCGACGCTGGTGACAAGTTCTGGGACATTGTTGACAAGAAGATCAAGGAGTTCCGAGTCAAGTTTTCTAATGACAAGCAGAAGATCTCGAGGTTAGTCCCTTGCCTACGGGACTTCGTCTTGCTCACCAGTCGGTATCTCTGCAGGAAGTTCGCTAAGATCCTTTCACAAGATCGTACAGTCTATGGTGACGTCGATGTCGACTATATGCTAGTGAGCGCTCGCATGAATCCAGCTCAGTGTGAGAGTGAGAACGTGCATGCAGGGATCGGCGGGGCACCGATCAATGGGGCTGAGCAGGGCGCCCAGGATTAGGGATTCACGGGTGGATTCGAGCATAGGAACAGAACCAGCTAGCCATACATTCCGTTTAATTAGCAGTAATTTTTATTAGTATATCTACTACATCCATTGCAACTGTCTCGTGTCATTGTGCTTCTTGACTGGATCACCCTCTGGGCTTTGACAGATATGACATAGAGGCATATAAGATGTTGGTTGAATGACTCCCTTGTTCTCTGTCGCATACGATGCAAAGACTTACGAGAGACATATTCGATGACACTTCAGACACCATCATGAGATGAACAAGATGTGACTTCGACATCTGGTGCCAAACCTGCTCTAGATAATACTTGATGAGCTCGAATTGACCTCACGATTTTGCGAGCTGAGATCGATCCGCTGTTTTTATGTGACGCCAATATCCGACTGGAGTCCAGTTGATATCAAGCCGGGGCCTCGGGAGGCTCCGAGGCCAACATCCCCGAAACACTTTCCCAGGATGTGCGTGTAGAGACCAGGTGAGTTTGAGAACCTTGCACATTATACCCGGAGGGGCATGGAGTGGAGAAATAGTTCCTGGGCGTGGGGTGGCAGTAATGTTCGAATGCACGGACGCGGTGTGGCCGAGTCACCCTCCTCTCGTAGAGGGATGGCGCATCCGAACGATACTGGAAGAGCAACGATGCGATGGCTGCTGCACAGATTCATTACCAAAGGGCTGCCTGGCACTGGTTTCGCGTCTCCGCGCGGATACAATGGGTCGCGCGTCTCCTTAGGCAGCAGTGAGCCTTGGAGACGCGTGGTAGACGCGTCTTCGATACGCTGCCTACCCATACTCCCGAACCATTGACGCGGGTGTGGTTCGCCGTATCTCTGGACTTTAGATGCAAGAGGGCGAGGGAATGGCCATTGGGATGGTCAATGCATGACGTTCTCCCGTCCCCAGCGCGTACATTCGCGCCTTCGGCCCTTGCTGGTAGTGGTCCTGGTTACTCTGCAGTGTTGTGCCGGTCGACGACTGGACAGTGCAGTTGACGTGTCGACTTGTCGACTAGTCGACGGACCGGCGCGTCGACCGCAAGTCGTGTCGACTGTCCCACGGCTCGTTGACTGTCCCAGGGTATATAAATAGTGAATGCATCATCTAACCATTCCATAATAAGTAACTCTCGCATCTCGTTAATGAATGTATTTGACAACTTCGGCGTGTCTATGTGGTCTGCTCAGATTGCATTATTAGCATGAACCCTAAGAGAATGATACATCCCTTGTGAACTTTAAATGAATGATATATCTGTTACAAACTCTATGAGAATGATACATCTGTTATCACACTTATTTATCCACCAATCCAATTCTGAACCATGAATCAATGAAAGTTCTCAATCATATCATACAGATATAGCATGGGATTCAGAAGTACAGGTGTGTTCATTTATATCCATGGACAGGTATGTAAGGAGGATGCAAATGGTGTGGGATCAGCCCATACTCTCCCCCCACTTTCGAGTTGGCACACTCTCTACAAAATCCCAATGTCAAGGCCAAGTAGTTCTACCCGGAACCGTGCATGGTACCGTCAGCTCTTCTATGATCATCCCAAGCTCCCAGAGAAAGCACCGGAAGCATACGTTGGCAAAGACAAGGCGAAGGTATGGTGCAAACTATGTTTTGATCAATTAGTGCTCTTGGAAGTGGCACGGGATCAGGCTGAAGTGGCAAGGGGCAAGAAGGCAGCAATCCGTCCACGGAGTGAGATAGAGCGTGCATGTGTGTAGTTCTCAACACGTTATGTTGCCTTTCTCTCTCTAACTTCTGGCATAGTGTGGGATCTACCACACGGGGCTGGCTGGCTGGCTGCCAGAAGCTCTTCACTTCTTCCACACCTCCGTGATTGTCACCTCCAGCCACAGGTTATTAGCGACCGCGCCCGGAATGAGCATCAGCGTGCTCTATCGCCACGCCATCGACACCCTGGGCTTGATCCAGACCACACTATTCCTCCCCAATATGTAGGCAGCATGGCTCCACCCCCTAATCCAGTTTGGACACAGGCACAGTATGCTTCGCAACCACCATACACTCAGCAGCCACTATATGCTCAGCAACCAGCTTTCATTCCACAACTACAGCCCATTGCAGGCCCATCTACAGGTTCCCTCGGGCAACCTGGTAGTTATAATCCCCCACCGCAGCTTCCCATTCCGGCACCAGTACCATTCCATGGGGCCAGTGCTCTATCATTGCAAGTCCCTCTTCAGTCCCGTACTAACTCTCCCGCCACTCCCTCGGACTTATATTCACAGACACCTAGTCCAATCCTGTTTTCAAACCTGCGAAATCTTTCTGGTAGCCCAGCATTGTCTGAATCTTCTACCTCTGCAGGAATGAAGAGACCTCGTCTGAGTCGCTCTAGCAGTTTGCGAGCATCTACCCGAGCAAGTCCTGTGGAGCCACCCCAGTGGACAGAAAGCACACAAGAACGGTTTGAGTCACGCCTTGCACGCCTCACAGCCTCTTGTGGATGGACAACAACATGGGTTGAGAACCCAGAGTGGCTGGCATTCTGTGATGACTTCCTCCCAAGTGCAAAGGTACCATCCCGGAAGGTCCTCACAAAGCGGATTTTGCCGAAAGAAGTCCAAGTATTTCATGACCAGGCTATTGCAATTTGCCATGGGTGCGAGGTCACAGTTGAGTGTGATGGTTGGTCTGGAATCAATCATCACCATTTTGTGGCATTTATGATTGCTGTTAATGGCAAGGTCTGTGACCTAAACATCCCCTACCTTTTACTATACTAATATTTTCCCAGGTTTATACAATCAAGGTCTATGATACTCAAGGGGCCAACGCGGGTATTACCGACGACGTCAACCCTATTGTCGTTGTCCCTTTCCAAGTTTACGGGGTCCCGATTTTCACTTTCTTGCACGGTTTGTGTGCACTTTCTATTTGCGACTTCCCAGAGCTGTATTAAAATCTGAATCTTTTTCTGTACCGTTGAGTAGCATTCTAGCACAGGTCTACATACTTTTTGAAGTGGTGGGACATACGCTATATCTTTGATAAATGCATCAAGCAAAATCTGAGGACGCGAGCTGTAGACCACTTGCCTGATTCGGACAAACGACGCAGTGTGTCTGAAAACCGGCGATGCGAGACTTTTTCTAACAGTCCTCGTTGAATGGTGCAAGGATTGCTGGTAGTCTTGAATTTGCAGTTGTATATTGTATCATGTGGAGTCTGTAGCCTGTCAAAGTATCTTGTGCTTTCTATACATCGGCAAATTTGAGGAAATATGTATCCATCAAGCCCTGTGGTCATGGTCACAACGGACCTTCGGCAAATATGCGCCCACCAACAGCTCTGTCAAGAGAACTACTATATTATAAGCACTGTTTGTCACCAGTCTTATGCATCAGGAAGTAGAGAGGTGTTCCTGTATGTCTGAGTCAGTGCAGAAATATCATCGACTGAGAAGTGTTTGGGATCTTTCAGCACTGAACAATGTGATCTTAGGGATCAAAGATATATATAAGTAGTTATAAGCTATTACCTATGTGTACATGGATGACAGAGGCTTGTTGATTCCCGACAATCGACCACACAAAACATAAACCCAGGCAGAAGAGGAGCCGCCACAAATTGCCTTATCAAGGTGGTCCTCTCTCTTATGTGATGCTTTCAGGGTCCTGTTCACTTTAGGGGGTTGCCGTCGCGCGTTTTCTGGCCGTTGGCCCCTTGATGATACTACCAATCAGGTGAAAAATGCAGATAATCTTTTGCTCATGCTCCGTGAAGTTATCCAAACTGCCGAGCGGGACTGGGGTGTTACAGTGGTAGC